TAAAGGAAAAACCTGATTAAATGAGTGGAGAAACATAATGAAAGCAGATTTTAGCCTGGTTTGGGTCCACTTCTGTCCTGAGGAGGAAGGGACACCACAAATCAATACAAAGTTTTTATCCTATTGCCGGCCTTACACCTTGACATGTCATCCAATTTGTACCACAGTAGAGTGGAGAAAGAGAAAGGTGGACAGACCTCGCTGCACCCTTTCAGTCAACCAGGGCTGTGTCCACATTCTTACAGTGTCTTCTCTTTTTCTTCAGCTAAAAACACTGCACACACAAGTGCAGCTGTAGCCAAATGCTGCTTTTGTTTCTGATCCATTTTTCAATTCTTTCTTGTAACTTACTGCCATGAGCGTGATGAGAAGTAGTCTCAAGAGAAATCTAGTCACAGTCTTGCAAATTGTGACTCTGCAAGATCCCGTCTTTGCAAAATCACAGTCTGTGACTAAAGCTCTATGTGACTAATGACCTGTTGTCTCTAGATGTGAGAGGGTATCAGACTTTAGTCTGACTTTAGTCAGCATAAGAGGAAACATTTCAATCCTGATGGGAGTGGTCTTTTCCAGGATGACAATGCTCCGATCCACAGAGCATAGAGGGTCACTGAATGGTTTGATAAGTATCAAATTGATGTGAGTCATTTGCTATGGCCGTATCTCAACCCAGATGAAAACCTAGAGGAGATCTTGAACCACTTTGACAGCGCCCATCATCATGTCCATCCCTCCAGTAGAGTTCAGAGGCTTGTAGAATCACTGCCAAGGGGCACTGAAGCGGTTCTGGTAGCATGTGGTGGCCTCAACACCTTACTAAGACACTTTGTGTTTTTTTTATTTGTCATCTGTCTTTTGGCCAAGTTGTAACCTGTCTCGCATACATCAGGGAACAAAGGAGCGTTCCTTACACATATCATGCAAATGTTAGCACGTGCACCAGGAGCACCAGGAGTGAGTGAGTGACACATGCACTGCAACAAAGCAAACAATGAGCAGAGAGTCATAGCCTGTCACTGGGAGGTATGATGCCACACAGATAATGAGCGTTACTCCCAGCAGGTAGCTGTGTAGCATGTGGTTCACAGCGCACACAGAGGCAATTGTTAAGACGCTGTGACAGTATGTTCTCAACTTGGCAGGTAACACTGTTTGCATTTATCTTACTGAATAAAGGCTGACGGAGCTTAGTGTTCATTTGCATCCTAGTGGTGGAGGTGGGGGGGCTTACGTGGTTATGCATAAAATATGCCTGTAGCTAATGTTTTTTCACACTTGAACTGTGTATCTTTCTATTAATGCGTTTATGAAAGCAGCAAGGGCCAGGGGCACATTTAGGTGTCATATCTGTGTTAAAAGGGTTCCAGCCTTGTCGGCCTCTATACTGTACTTCACACTTTGTATCCTGCAGTTCTTTTTATTTCAACAAATGAGAAAATCCACAGCTACCTTGAATCCTGCTGTACCATTCTCAACTGCTACAGTAGATGTTATTAACAACAACTTGACTTGTGTCCTTTTCACACATAACCCACACTGGTGCTGTGTTACCTGTGGCTTTTTTCTTTTGAAATTGAAGGTACCATTGATAAAATGTCATTGTTCCCCCGAACAGCAGCTTTGACAAATATCATTTTTGTCGTGTTCCATAGCTCAGCTCTGCCCCTCTACAATCATTCACAATGCAACCCTGGCTTCTACAAATTACATGTACATATTAATT